GCTGATTATGTGGGCTGTGTTGATACCCGCCGCTCCACGTCGGGCTGGTGTGTGCGCCTTGGGGGTGCCTTTCTCTCGTGGCGTTGTCGGAAACAGGATAAGGTATCGAAGCCTTCAACTAAAGCTGAGTATCGCTCTATGTCTGAAGTCAGTTCCGAGTTAGTGTGGCTTCGTCGGTTATTTGAGGAGATTGAGTTTTCTATCTCTCTTTCTATGCGGCTCTTCGGTGATAACACCAGTGCTATCGAGATAGCTAATAACCCTATTCTTCACGACCGAACAAGGCACATCGAGGTTCATGTGCGTGAATCTCGGAACTTGTTGCTGACGGGTGTCTCAAACTCTACTATATATCTTTGGAAGATCAAATCGCGGATATCTTGACGAACGCAGTCTCTTCTTCTCGTCATTGGTTTCTCTCTGGCAAATTGATGGTGCGCACCGCCCATCAATTTGGGGGAGGGTATTAATGTATGTACGTGTCCTATGTGGTTATTATTGTACATACAATATTTTAGTATAGTAGAGTTAGAGTTAGGGTTAGCCGAACCCTATATATATGTTTTGTTTGGCTGTGTAATAGGGTAAGGATTCTACAGACGATAATAGATTGACTGAGAGCTGGTTGCTCTCCGTGGAGTAGTCCTGTTCACACCGAACAAGGAAACCACGTAAATCCTATGTCTTCTTCTGTTAACATGATTTCCGTGGTTGATTGACACAACGACTCTTCTTTGGCTTGTGGTTTTCGTTTCATGTTTTCAATCGAATCAGGGAAGTCTCGAGCACTCAGAGGTGGGTCAGATTGGAATTGATTGGGAGGCGAGACGACCCAAGGTGAAGCGAGGCGGGGGAGTGGGAGGAGTAATGGTGGTGGTCGAGTTTGGGGGATATCGGGTTTCTGAGGAAGACTCACAGATAGTCGAAGAAGGGGATATCGGGTTTCAGAGCAAAGGAAATTGATTGTTGAAGAACTCGATCAAAATGATGGACAAAGAAACTGATTTCACTGGAAGGACGATGCAAGAAGGAAGCTGAGTCAAGAAGATGCTTCACATTCCTTAAACTCGAAAGTAAAAAGAAACCAATTAATAACATAGACATCAGAGAAGTAAATCTGGGAAATTTGGGTTGGAACCCTAATTTATGATTTTCTTATTATTTTAATTTTAATTATGACGTGGTGATGAAGAGTTGATATGGAGGCTGATGTGGCATCCACATCAGCATAACACTCACGTTACTCACGGAATCACTAACGATGTTATCTACAAATAAATATAAGGGAATGTCAACAAAAAATTTCTGCCACATCAGCCAGTGCTCTTCATCCCGTATAATTCGAATAGGTATTAACGTATTTGTACTTGGACTAAAAAAAGGATTTAGTTGCTAAAATAATGGGGAGGGATTAGTTGTGAACAAATGGGGAGAAAAGAGACAGAATATCTGGGAGAGAGTAGCCACGAAAGAGGGAGAAACCCAATATAATTAAATTCCATTGCTGAAAGACATGATGAAAAACAAAAAGAAAGAAAATAATAGCAAAAGAGAAATATTACTAGAAAATAATGAAAATAGATAAAATGTAAACTACACTAAAATGATGCATATATGCACTGTACATACAATTGTTGTGCTCTTTATTATCACCTTCATTATTTGTGCATATTATGGAATTAAGATAATAATATTGAATTAAGAAGCAAAGCTTCATAATTTTTTTTATGATGGTGATAATGAATTGAAAACCCGGAAAAATTAATGGTAAGATATTTTGTGTTAAAATCGTGGTTGAATCATGACTTAACTATTTTGTACAGATAAATCTGCTTACATTTTTGGAGTTGGTATTCGGTATTTCGATTTTTACTGGCCACTACGATAAGTTCTTAAACCATGCTTTTTTGCAGTAATTGAGACAAATTGGAGATTTTTAATAGCCAAACTTCGATAAGAAGATGAAACGCTGCTGAAGTCTGGAAGTAGTCTACTCTACATATAATACGCTGAAGGGGAAAACAGCTTCCCCATTTCAAATTTGCTGCCTCCGGAGCGTTTCTCGGAGGGGTAGTTTCGGAAACGGAAAAAAATTGACTCGGCTCCTATTGCGACATCCAACAGGCCTGCTGATTTTTTCTCCCAGTCAATTCGAGCCTCCCTCTCTCCGTCTTCCACCGGTGTCAATCCGAGCCTCCTCCTCTCTCCTTCCTCCGTCTTCACCGCCAACGGGCCTGCTGATTTTTTCTCCCAGTCAATCTGAGCCTCCCTCTCTCCATCTTCCGCCGGTGTCAATCTGAGCCTCCTCCTCTCTCCGTCCTCCGTCTTCACCGCCAACGACCCCGCTGATTTTTTCTCCCAGTCAATCCGAGCATCCCTCTCTCCGTCCTCCGCCGGTGTCAATCCGAGCCTCCTCCTCTCTCCGTCCTCCGTCTTCATCGCCAAAATCATTCATTATCCCAGCAGCGCTCACTCACAACATGGTGCCGATTCATTGAACGGCAGTTTTGAAGGTAAGCGAACTAAATAAACCCTGAGTTTGCAGCTCGGTGGCTAATTTAAGAATTGGAGTGGAGAGATCTGTAGTTGAAAAGAAAAAAGCTATACATTTGCATCAATCCGTCATAGGAATGGGTTAATTCGTTCTCTTCCAATTTGCTTCCAACTATGTTTGTATGTGGTTTGTGATCGACTCCAAAATGAATCCGAATCAGAATCAGGCTATGGAAGCAGCATCAGCAATAATTGCAGAATCCAAGCCGTTTGAGGATTCATTTTGTAGAGGTGGAGCTGGTTCTGTTACAGGAGGAGGACTCATTCGAGGCACAAATATTGTAAGTAGGTTGTTTTGATTCCATAAACGTCAACTTCATCAGTATGTGCTGTTGCTTCCTTCGTATAAATTAGTTTCTACCACAAGTAAATAGAATGCCCTAAGCATATGAACTCTAGAAGCCCTTAGGATAGTATCCATGACTCATATTCAAACACTTCGGTTGTTACAGTTTATTTTCTATTTCAGTTGCATTTTCTAATTTTCTAAATCTGGGTAGCCTTTGAATACTACTATTGCTTTGTATTGGGGAGCCTGATAATGGGGGCAGAGCGTCGTTGTGAATTGGTGGCTTAGTGTAGGGAGAACAAGGATATGAACCATTGCCCAATATACTGTGTATATGCATTGAAAGTGATCAATTTTAGATATGTTAAGTCAATGGCCAATTTTTTCTTCTATTGACATTCATCATTCATGAGCTTTATAATGTGGCGAAGCATACTTCTGAATTGATGATGTAGTTCTGATGTGGATGTAGATGTATTTCAGATATGCCATGGCTGGTTTCCTTGGTTAATTAGTACATTTCAGTGCTTTAACTTATGTCACCTCTGCAAAATAATTGTCATTGTGTTTGTTAGCTTAGCTGCCTCCCTTAATGTACAGATGGAAGCCATGCACCAATAGAGCTAAGTAGTGGAGCTTGAATGAGAGGTGAAGAAGTTGTCTAGACAGCAAAATCGACAGTAGGGGATTCATCACCATGCCAAATTCATGGATGGAGTTGCTCACAAGGTAATTCTGTGCCAATTCCATCTATCCATCATAACACGGCCTTGGGTGAACTAGATACATGGATGATTTGCCTGTTACACCTGAAGTAAAAGGGGAAACACACATTCTTAATTATATTTCTGATTTTGATGTTTTGTTTTGTTTTGTTTTGCTTTGGATTTCCGAGGGGGTGATTCAGGCTGTCGAGGAGAGCGCAATCTTGACGGAAAAGGAAGCAGCGGCGGTGTCCAGCAGTCGATCTTCAGGTCGGGACGAAAGAGGAAGCAGCAATTTGTTGTTTCAGGTTGCTAAAGTTTTCTCCTTTTGTTACATTTGAAGTCATTTGCTGTAGGTATTGATTCGCTGGTGGTGGCCTGAAATCCATCCTATTATCCTATAAATAGTTGTAATGTCCTTCTTTGCTATTTTGCCTCTTCCTGATGACAAAACCCGCTTACTGGCTTTCTATTCTGCATTAGAAACATAGGAATCATTCAAATGAGGGCGACTCTGAAATTTGCAGACAACTTGGTTCCAAAAAGGTGATGTTCATACTTCATACAAAAGATGGAAGACCTCTATCTGTCCAATTCTCTACAAGTACCTCTCGCCTGAGCCTTTTGTTAATAATTTGATCTAAATGGTTATCACTAAGAGACTGGCCTTTTTTGTCTTTTGCTTCTACTGAACATTAATGTTGGTCTTCTATTCTTAGGACTGGTTTGTGGAACATTGATTTACTTTAGCAAGATTACATTATGCTCTAACAGAGTTTCGTTTATGGACACAGAAACCCCCGGTGATTGCTTTTTCTAGGAAGACACAGTGAGGATTTCACTGTGAAATTATACGACTACAAGAGGTTTTGTACATGGAAAGCATGTCTGCCTTTTCCTTTTAATTTTTTGCTTCCTTCGTATTTTATTCTTTTAAAGAGGTTTTAGAGACCAAGCTGGACCACAAAATGTTTATTTGCATTTTTTCCCATGTTTACTGTTGGGAGAAGCCACCTCTCCGCCAGACAAAAGATTTGGAACTACACAAGGCCTTGCTTACAATCATGGTTGTTTTGTCTTCAGTGCCCTTGCAAAAGGCTTCATACAGGTTTGTTGTTTTTTAGATTTTTTATTTTCTTTTTCATTGCTTTCATTAGCTGGATTTTATTACTTTTGCTTGGAGAACAAGTTCTTACAGTAAACAAATGGTGTTTAGTGATCAAAATTTCTTATGTTAGTGCGATATATTGTCTTTGCATGACCAGTTGGTGTTGGGTGCTCATGATTTACTTGATATCTTATTTGTCATGAAACTAGGCAGAGACCAAGCACAACTATAGAAGAATCTAATGTATCTAACGCCTAAAGTTGGAAGCTACCAAATTTTGGCCAATAGAAGTGGTCAAACATGTCTTGCAGACTGCTGCTACTTCGTTGCAGAAAGTTCTAACCCTGAAAGGACGCATAGCAGATGATGTTCCAACCAAGGTGAGATATGAATTACTGTGTTCATAACTCCAAATGAGAAAATTATTAGTTGTCAAGAACTAACATGCTAAGAGCCATATTTTCTACTTGGAATTTTGGAGGTCACTGGAGATGTTCGAAGGATTAGACGGATACTCACCAACCTTATCATGTATTCTTTTGGCTTGAAACTTCTTCTGCAAGAAAATTGTTGATCTATATCCTGATTTCTTTTACTGATTGCTTTGTAGCAATGCGGTTAAGTTCACACATGAAGGGAAAGTGGAAATAGACTTTTATGTAGTAACAGACCCCATGTTGCCGAAGAGCATAAGAAAACCACTAGAAGTTAATGGTTGGTCAATAAGAAGTGTTGATTAACAATGAACCACTCTGTTAAAAAGGCCGAGCACTACCTACACAATTACAATTTACTATTTCCTCCATCTATCACTTGGAATCTAACCAACATGTTTTGTTTATTCTTTCAACAGATTTAGAATACAACCTACAGTCTCTGGTGAGGCCCAATCTGTTCTCATGGACAAGGAAAGGAAGATGTTCTTTGGAATCTCAGCTCAGACACTATTTGCCGATGAGTAAAAGGACCCCCACTGTTGTACCTGCTGCTCTTCTCAAAATACAACATCTACAGTTACAATTCCAGATAATGCTAACCGAATTCAATATCAAGATTTCGTCGCATGAATTTAGCATGCTATAAATTGATGAACCTTCAATAGAACAAGGCAAGCATTGAATCTACTGCTACTGCCCAGGTTCAGGTTAGTCACTAAGCTTAACTGAACCGTTACTTTATGTTGTTGGTTAATTCAGTCTTTCGACAATTAACTGAATCACTGAACTCTAATTGGAATAGTTGTTGTTTTACATGGAATGCAAACCACCAAATCCCTTTACCTATAAAAAACCTGATGGATGGATCTATTTCCCTAATTGTCAACATGAGTATAGTTATTCAATAATATAATTAATTGGGATCCAAGTCTTTCCTTTGAGTACTATAAGTTGATAATAGTGATTATATATATCCTCATGATTATCCTATTTCGCCAATGATGAATATGCTAATAATGATTAAATAATAATTCTCAAAGCTTTAAGTCTCACCCGTGAAAGGGTTTAAACTTGCAGCTTCACTTGCAACTCTTTTTGAAGATCTGTATGTCAACTAATTAGATCCACCCATGAAGTTAGCAAAAACTAATTTGCAGCAGCCATGAAATTGATAGTTGGATAACTCATTTTTGTTTGCTTTTTGTTGAAATTGATTGAATAATATATTATATATTCATGTTAATCAGTCTTTCGAATTTGCAGCAGCCTCTTTCTACACTTCACAATGGAAGTTCGTCATCCCAATCTACTGCCAACGGAATCAGTAGTGAGCATGAGCAACCAATACTACACAACCAAAGAACCCGTCAGTGTTCAAGAGCTATAAGATAAAACCCTCTAATGTCAGATGGGGAGTGATTAGAGAAAGAACTCTTAGTAATTTAAATATACGGTTTTATTATTTATATTAGGGATGGTCGTTGGACTTAGTTCATGAATTTTATATTTCCTATTGGTATTGTCTGCAGTACCTCTCTCTTTTACTCTAAACATCTTAAGTTGAGATTTCTTTTGTTTTAGATGCCTGAACGGATACATAGAGGCCTTTTCTAAATGCCAGATTATATTTCCTATTGGTATTGTCTGCAGTACCTCTCTCTTTTACTCTAAACATCTTAAGTTGAGGTTTCTTTTGTTTTAGATGCCTGAACGGATACATAGAGGCCTTTTCTAAATGCCAGATTATATTTGACAATATATTGAATACATAGTGTGGCGACTTTCAGTTTCTAGTTATTATTTTGGTTTATGTTCAGTTTCGATCTAGGCATTTCTCTGCTGATCCGCTTCATCGAAATGACTTGGAAGGCAGGATAGGGTTTCTTTCGGTGGAGGATAGGCCTTTTCTTAGCTCTTGGCGCTGCGATGCAAAAATGGGTAAGGCAGAAACAGTTTATACAAAATACCATTTTATATTCATATAGAACATGTTGGTATAGGTAGCCGCAATCTCATATTATTGAAGAATCCATCGAGGAGAAGAGAGGAATTATCATTGGTACGCAAAATTTTATTAGGGATATGCTAGGCGGTACTCACCATTAGGCCAATTTAGCTTAATGGTTGAATCTACGGGTTATCCCAATAATTCAATATTCGGCTCAGCTCCTCCGACCAACAGGTCGGGTTATAAGCTAGTATGTTTCTATGATGAATTGCAATAAGATTTAGAGGAGAGGGAAAATGTAGAGTTAAGGAAATTAATATAACTGCCGCAAGTATGCAATGAGATAGAAACTTGGGTCGTAACTCGGAAGGCATATTTCTCAATCCACTAATTATTGACGAACTATAATTTCTTAATTCACTTCCATAAATAAAAATATTTCATATGAGTTAATAGAAAGAAGCATAGATAGAGTCATCCTCAATTTATATTTGAGTGCTTTTAGTGAAAAACAATGCAGTTAAAAGCGCGATTCTACCTAGAAGCGGAAAATGGGTAAAATCATAAAACATAGAATCAAAGCGTAAAAGCGTAAGTTTTTGACGCACCCTCTAAAATAGCTAAAATATGTTAAGTACAACATATAGTATGTAAAATGTGAGTGTGTAGATTTTAGATAAGTGAATAACTACGTGAAATTCATAATTAAAATGTAATATCTAACACATAAACTAATTTGTGTTGACTCAAAAGTAGAGAAAACTCATAACATCTTAATAATAAGCTCATAAACGTAGATCGTAACCCGTAAACGAGCTTGAGAATCCAATTTCTCATAAGCTGGTTTGATTTTACATAATTACATACGATCAATAACCCATAAACTTTTATCGTAACCCAGGTAAGAGCCACAGGTGAAGATTAAGAAAGAAGACTGATAGAAGGTCAGCGGCTGTTGAGAATACCATTAGGTGTCTTTTCAACCTAATGTGAAGCCCCTATCTCGTCACTAGTTGTAGAACGAGTGATGAATCAAGTTTTCCTTTTTTTATTTTTTGTTGATATGTCTCCAAAATTACATCATTTTGGCGCAATTAGCACATTTTTATGAGATGAACAAAATCGTATAAAAACGCTTCAGAATCGCGATTTTACCGATTTTAAGCGATTTTACCCATGTTTTTACCAGTTTTTGTGACTAAGCGACTTTAGGTAGAAACTGAAACGTTTTGGTGGCCTGGATACGTAAAAACGTAAGCTTTTACGTTTTAATGCGCGATTTTGACTGCACTGGTGAAAAACGTGCATTCCAAATTTAGGGCTTTTATATAGAGTATGTAAATTCCAACCTAAACTTAATTAAGCTATAATAAAACATGAATAATCAAATTAAAATGTTGACATTATTAATTTAGGTGAAGATGATACTAACAAATATACGCGTATGGTAAAAAAATTTAAAAAAACAATGTCGGCCATGGGGCCGGGCAGCAGCTAGTTGTTTTTAACGAAAATGGCTAAATTTGTCATACTAGTTTCAAAAGTTTGACTATATCTGTGTATTTTTTTCCAAAATTGGATATTGTTGTTACAAAGTGCATACTTATAGTTATACAAGTGTATTTTTTTCTTTTTTTTTCTTTCATTCATTTTAATTTCTATAACAGACCGTTTGGTACCAAATGAATCAAGAATTAATTTCATTTTAAAATGAATTACCCTGTAAAATTCATTGTCAAATGAAATCTTGTGTTTTGTATGTCATATTCAAATCCTTATAAATAAAATGAATTGTCGTGCAGAATTCATTGTCAAATGAATTTCTGTGTTTGGTATGTCATATGTATAAGTAATTTAGTTAATAAAAGAGGATAATTATATCATTCTATTATAATTAGTAAATACTTGTGGAATTCATTTGGAAATTCCATCTCAATTCCTCGGAATTGCTATAACTAGTTCTAATTCCATAGAATTCAAAATTTAAAATTGAAAATGAATTCTTTTAAATACCAAACACAAAAATGTTTCATTTCAAGGAATTGCTATAACTAGTTCCAATTCCATAGAATTCAAAATTTAGAATTGAAAATGAATTCTTTTAAATACCAAACACAAAAATGTTTCATTTCAAAATGAATTCCACAAAACTTATGGAATACATTTATACCAAACGGTATGTAAGTGATTTATATTACGTTTACTCCAATTTAAATATTGATTCAGTATTTTCTATAATTATTTATATAAAATTCATGAAACCAAGAGTTGACCACTCGGTTTGATTTGATTCATGGCGGACCAAACCTTTATAAATGATTGTTTGTTTTTTTCGTAAAGGATCTGAGATTGTTTTTGCATTTACACATTCCCAATTTCCAAACCTAAAACTGGATCTTAAATAAATGAAGATTACAATATGACATTGGCCCATTTAGGCCCACATCCATCCAATTGTCTATCGGACTTTCCGTAGCCCATTCCCGCCGGGAAGAATTCCCGATTGGCAAACGTCGAGTCGCGGGTTGTCTTTTCTCGATTCTTTCAAACCGGTTAATACCGTTGTGCCGGTTTGGCAAGTGGAATGGTACGATCGGTGGTATAACCAGTTTGTGTCGGTTTATACCGGTTAAAAAAATGTGAAAACAATTAATATCCAATGTATCTAATCATATATAAAACTTATTTGTGGACAATTTAGTTACAATCCAACAAATATCATCAACTTTTAACTATTACATTCGTAAAATGAATAATAAATTAATTTTTTATTCTTTTAATTCATTAAAATGATGTCATTGTACTTAGAATGCGTAAGTCGATCATACCGGTCATACCGGTGATGTCATGCCGGTTTCATGACCAGCATAGGTTGAACCAGGTTCAACCACCGGCATGACAACCATGACTCGATTCAGTTCAATTCCGTGACTCCGACTCGTCGCCGAACATGTTGAAGTTCTGCTTGAGTAGGGATTCTGAACTAATAGAAAGAAGCATAGATAGAGTCATCCTCAATTTATATTTGAGTGCTTTTAGTGAAAAACGTGCATTCCAAATTTAGGGCTTTTATATAGAGTATGTAAATTCCAACCTAAACTTAATTAAGCTATAATAAAACATGAATAATCAAATTAAAATGTTGACATTATTAATTTAGCTGAAGATGATACTAACAAATATACGCGTATGATAAAAAAATTAAAAAAAAACAATGTCGGCCATGGGGCCAGGCAGCAGCTAGTTGTTTTTAACGGAAATGGCTAAATTTGTCATACTAGTTTCAAAAGTTTGACTATATCTGTGTATTTTTTTCCAAAATTGGATATTGCTGTTACAAAGTGCATACTTATGGTTATACAAGTGTATTTTATCTTTTTTTTTCTTTCATTCATTTTACTTTCTGTAACAGACCATTTGGTACCAAATGAATCAAGAATTAATTTCATTTTAAAATGAATTACCCTGTAAAATTCATTGTCAAATGAAATCTTGTGTTTTGTATGTCATATTCAAATCCTTATAAATAAAATGAATTGTCGTGCAGAATTCATTGTCAAATGAATTTCTGTGTTTGGTATGTCATATGTATAAGTAATTTAGTTAATAAAAGAGGATAATTATATCATTCTATTATCATTAGTAAATACTTGTGGAATTCATTTGGAAATTCCATCTCAATTCCTCGGAATTGCTATAACTAGTTCCAATTCCATAGAATTCAAAATTTAGAATTGAAAATGAATTCTTTTAAATACCAAACACAAAAATGTTTCATTTCAAAATGAATTCCACAAAACTTATAGAATTCATTTATACCAAACGGTATGTAAGTGATTTATATTACGTTTACTCCAATTTAAATATTGATTCAGTATTTTCTATAATTATTTATATAAAATTCATGAAACCAAGAGTTGACCACTCGGTTTGATTTGATTCATGGCGGACCAAACCTTTATAAATGATTGTTTGTTTTTTTCGTAAGGATCTGAGATTGTTTTTGCATTTACACATTCCAATTTCCAAACCTAAAACTGGATCTTAAATAAATGAAGATTACAATATGACATTGGCCCATTTAGGCCCACATCCCTCCAATTGTCTATCGGACTTTCCGTAGCCCATTCCCGCCGGGAAGAATTCCCGATTGGCAAACGTCGAGTCGCGGGTTGTCTTTTCTCGATTCCAAGGTTGTCAAACCGGTTTATACCGTTGTGCCGGTTTGGCAAGTGGAATGGTACGACCGGTGGTATAACCAGTTTGTGTCGGTTTATACCGATTAAAAAAAATGTGAAAACAATTAATATCCAATGTATCTAATCATATATAAAACATATTTGTGGACAATTTAGTTACAATCCAACAAATATCATCAACTTTTAACTATTACATTCGTAAAATGAATAATAAATTAATTTTTTTATTCTTTTAATTCATTAAAATGATGTCATTTTACTTAGAATGCGTAAGTCGATCATACCGATCATACCGGTGATGTCATGCCAGTTTCATGACCGGCATAGGTTGAACCAGGTTCAACCACCGGCATGACAACCATGACTCGATTCAGTTCAATTCCGTGACTCCGACTCGTCGCCGAACATGTAAAATAAAATAAAACGAAAAATAAATTATTCGGGAAGAAAAAGAATCAAAACTCAAAAACGAACGGCTAGGGCTGGCTATTTGGACTGGGGCCGGATGAAAAACCGGAAACCGGACCGTATAACCCGGACCGAGATCGGACCGGGACCGGATAGTAAACAAGCCAATCCAATCTTTGGGCTTAGATTTGAGGTAAAAAACCGGATAAAGACCGGATAAGAGAGCTCAACACCCAAAACTTAAGGGTAATTTGCATAAACGGTCACAAACCTTTGCACTTAGTACAAAACTTAACCAACTCCTCACCCTTTTAGGCCTTAGGCCACTCAAATTCCCACAATCTCAATATAAAATCAAGACCGAATTGGACCGGATCGGGTCAAGACCGGACTGGATCAGGACCGGACTGTATCCAATCCAATAGTCGGTCCTTATATTTTCAAAAAATCGGACTGGACCGAATCAATTTGGGCCAATTTAACCGGACCGGACCGTATAGCCACCCCTACGAACGGCGTAACGAGAAGGAAAGGCAAGAAGAGATCTGTTTGTTCTCCGAGAAACGAAGAGAGAGAATACAGAGCGCGAGAGAGGAGATTAGGCAAATTAAGGGAAGGAAAGATGATGTCCGGAAACTACCATCACATTGACAATCAGAAGGTCTCAGGATCTGTACCTGTAAGTAAAAAACTCTTCTTCACTCCTACCTTTCAGACTTGTCGCGGATATCCAATTCGTTTCGTAATTCACAGTACCAGATCTGATAAGCCAGCGTTGTGTTTTCTTATTTTTTTCCAATCTGATTCCTCTCTAGGCGGTTACCGATCCAGGGCACATTCCAGTTCAGTTCGCAGGTAAATTTTTCATTCCGATTTCGTTTCTGAATCGGCGGTGGCGGGAAAATTTATTAGAGATGGATGAGATATGCGGGGAGGTTGAATCGGGTTGGTGATGAATCTGGGTACGGAATTGGGGGCTGGTAGAGTGGTTAAGTGAGATTGTTTGCTGCCTAGGACTAGGAGGATGGTACTCCTTTTCCTTCTGTTTCTGTGTTCTTCGGACATTTGATTGTAATGTTTGATGCGTAGAGTCGAATCTGCAAACTTTTCCGCCCTCTGGCGCTCAGGGCAAGATCAGTGGTGCATCCAGGCCTCCCCGCGATGCTGATGGTAAGTCTTTGTTGAAGTTCTGCTTGAGTAGGGATTCTGAACTACAAGTCTGGTTTACCTAAATTTGTGGATTTTGAACAAGAACTGGAAATTTTCAATGTTGTACATATAATATTTGAGCAGGGTTTCTGTTGGGGCAAATCCTTTCCAAGGAAAAGGGAGGTCATGTGTCTGTGAAGCACCAATCATGCTGAGAGTAACTCAGAAATTCGTGGTTCACCCAAACTTGAGGGCTTTGAATTAGAACTGGAATTAGTTTGCTTTGTTGATGTGCATGCTCTCTAGTTTTTCACATAGCATTTGACAGATTGCTTCAAGTTGGGATTCTGTAATACCAATGAGTAGGAGGGGGGGTGAATGATGCTTAGGAGAAGTGATGTCTTTGACAATTTCTTCTTTGTAATTACTCAGGAGGAGATTACGTGGATAATCATAGCTGCTAGTTGCTTATTTCCTCTTATGATCTCCAAATCAAGCCTGTTGGCGACATGAAACTTGGTTCCTTTTGAGTTTCTTGGGTAGTTGATATTTATATGGAATGAGTGAATTGTAGTATGATGGAGTTTGTTCTATCATATTGTCGTGCTTGCTGAATGACTGTCTACATTTGCAGATTCATTTTCAAAACCGGTCAATGGTATCGAGGAACCACAACAGCCAGGTGGCTGGCTTCGGGCATTCTCAGTTGCTTCATACAAGCCATACTTTGACGTTGACACTGTAGATGTTATAGAGAGAATCAAAGATTCACTATTCCCATTCAATGGTTCCTTCAACGAGAAAACAACTAACAACCCAGATTTGTGAGTCATCTCTCACTACTCTGTTTCTCCGACATCAAAGCTTTCCTATGCTTAAGTCAATACCTTGCTTGCAACGTTCCAATGTTGAATATCAGATGTCTCTTATGTGATTAGGTGGCAAAAACTTACTCATGTCCCTGTAACTTCCTCTTGTGCAGGTATGGACCATTCTGGATATGCACTACCCTAATTTTCGTAGCAGCTTCAATTGGAACTTTTGTGACTTATGTAGCACACAAGGTTGAGAAGAAAGAATGGAACTATGATATAAATGTCGTGACGTGGTCTGCCGGTTTGTTCTATGGATATGTAACTCTTGTTCCTCTCGCTTTGTACGTGATCCTCAAGTACTTCTCAGCGCCATCAGGCCTGGTCCAGCTCTTCTGTCTCTATGGCTACTCTTTATTCATCTTCATCCCAACACTGGTGAGTCAAAAAAAAATTCTCATTGGACAAGTTGGTACCTATTGGGCAAGTTGTCAACTGAAACACAAAGTACAAGTAGAGGTGCTTGAAAAAATTACTTAATAACCAAATGGATTGTGAAATGATTAGGTGGTAATACAATTCGTCAAGACTTTTTGGATACATATTACTAAAATATGTGATTTATGTGTTAAATGACTAAATTTTCCCTTAGTTTATGGAAGTTTAATAGGAAAGAAAGCGTAGAATTATCAGTTTAGAGAAGATATCCGGCTGATGTCTCTCATGTTCTGTCAGTGTCTCTCGATTGTGCCCTTGGAGATCTTCCGGTGGATAGTTGCAGGTGTCGCAGGTTTCATGTCAGCATCATTCGTCGCACTGAACCTCCGAGCCCACATCATGTCGGCAGGGGAGAGGTGGTTCTTGATCGTTGCAGGGATCTTTCTGCTGCAGCTAGCGCTGTCCGTCGTGTTGAAGATGTATCTATTCACCGTGACGTTTTAACATCTGAGCTTAACTCATCATCATCATCACCATCACCGTCCCTCACTTCTTTATTTGAGGCACATGGAGAACTATAAGCTGTAGATTATAGGAAAAAAGAAAAGAGTTTCCGTTTTTGGGTAACAATATGTTAGCTTTGATATGATTCATATACAAGTACATGATCACATTGTTCGAAATATCGTAGTACCCTCTGTGAATTTCCACTATTTTGCTCAGTTGATTGATTGGGTGGGTGTATTATTCATACTTGATTGAAAAAATTTAACTTCCTATTCCTCAGTTTTCTACTGTTCTTGAGTGAGACAAATCTCAAAGGGATAAAATGACGAGATGATGAAGAAGAGCAGAGGGAGAAGGAAACCAAGAACAGTCATAACCAAGTGCAAAAGAAGAAACCAAAAGTACAGGAAACTAGACGAAACATCTTCACCTAGCTAAACCCCTTACCCATAGCAACAATGCACAAGATAAACATACCTTTCTAGCAGAAATGCAAAATAGTGCAGGAAAAAAGAAAAACTAGTTACTTCCACTTAACTTCCAAGTGTAAAACCTCCTCCAATCACTGGGAGCCTAAGAGGCCACAGAAAAGTAGGCAGAAAGTATTGGGTTTTGATACCTCTGAACATTCAGCAATTGGTTAGTTCTGTATAATGTTTGACACATGTGTATCGATTGTGTTAAATGATTTGCGATTTGTTGAGAGAATTGCAATTCAGTTCAGTATATTTAAATCGAGACAATCAAATGTTAAGGATAGCAATTATTATGGACAATCGACATAAATAATTTGTACTCATTAACCATAGAAATGTGTTAGCTATCATACCTAGGGATGGCAACAAAACCCAAACCCATGGGTACCCACCCGACCCAACCTGGTCAACGCGGGTAAAATCCGTGTTGATGGGTTTTGGTCCGGGTTTGGGTTTAAACCCGTTCACTATTCACCGGGTTGGGTTTGGGTTTAGGTAAATCTGACCCATGGGTACCCGCCCATACTCATATAATTAATTTTCTCGGCATATTTAATATTCTAAACAACTAATCTTATTTAAGTTTGTGGAGACATGTCTAATTTTTTCTTTTTAGTTATGTAGAATGAAATTGATGTTATCGAGTGGAGAGTGAAAAACTTAATTGAAAGGAAGAAGCTTTCAATTAATCATGTTATTTATGAATAATTTGTGATTTGATTCAATTTTCTTGAGTTTTCTAGATTGGTGTTGAACAATTTGTATAGTTAATTTGTGATTTGCTTGAATTTTCTAGAATGGTGTTTTATATATGGATAATTTGTATTGAGAAATTGATATTTGAGTAATTTAACTTTAATTTTGTAGGAATTTTTTATTGTGAATTTTTTACGACAAAAACCCGTGGGTACCCATGAACCCGCGAATACCCAGCGGGTTGGGTTGGGTTTGAGTTTTTCAAACCCAGTGGGTTTTACCCCGGGTTTTTTTCACGGATAAACCCATGGGTTTGGGTTTGGGTTTGGCAAAACCCGACCCAACCCGACCCATGGCCATCCCTTTCATACCCCTAATGCGCAGTTCTTTTTACAACAGAACAGCTGTGTTCATTTCACAAAAGTGACTTGCACCAAAAATTACAGTAGGTATGACAGAGGTCAAGCACAGTTATCCAATCTTAGCTTACTGATTCGTGGAGCGAGAGCGAAAACGAGAGCGTGAAAGCGTCTATTATTAAAAAATTGTAAATTTAAAGCGTCGACAGAGCGTTAATATTATATTATTTTAATTAAAATATTATTTTAAATAATACCTAATTTTGACAAAATACTCCCACTACTCATAGAAAATGAGACTAATTTAAAGTTCTATGGATACAAACCTACATCAATCGTCTTTAATTATCCACAACTAAAAAGGTGAAACCAAATAGAAAACTCAAAATAAAAATTCTAAATTTCCCTACCTAATAATTAACACCCACAACAGCACACCCACAGTCACAACAAGCTAAGTACATCCCACAAAAAGTTTGCGGATAATTAAAACTTTGTATGGGCCAACCAAAGTGTATCTATTGAGCCCAAATTTGGTTGCCTTCCAAAACCCTAACGCTCTGTTTGACAACAAGGGGGGTGCAAATTCGAGGAGGGTGCATATTGAGGGGTAATTTGCAGGGGGGAGCAAATTTAAGAAAGGTGCAAATTGGGGTACAAATTGTTGTTTGGGAGAAAAAGTAAGGGGGTGCAAAGTGATATATAAAATATAATAATAATAATATTATATTAATAAATCAAAAAATAAATACAATTAATATTTTCACTTTCTATATTAATGATGTTAGCTTATCTTTTCGTATACTTTCTCCAGATTTCCTTTATCCTCTCCCTCTCTAATCAATCATGCTTGATCTGTTGATCATTTTCCTTTTCTTCTTTCTAGTAACAATCCAACTCCATCCCCTCTCTCTACTCTTTACTTAAAAAGTAAAAAAAATCATTGCTCTCCATCTTCTCATTCTCTCTACATTCATTTACGACACTCTACCTCTGCTTCCCAACCTCAATTATATCGATTCAGAAAAAGAAAAAGAAATCTCCTGCTTCCGTTTCTCAATCTTCCTCTCCATAAGCTCTCACTGTAATTACATCCATGGGGAGTGGCTGCGTCGGACAGAATCTGGTCACACAAAAAAATCATCTTCTTCCTCCTGTCGCCGACCACAAAAACCCAGACTCTAATACCCATAACCGAAAAAGCACAAATCAAGGTGCGATTCGGCTTGCATGTTTTTTTTTTCTTTTGATTATCTCCGGTTAAAGGTTCTTAACTATGACCTAATTTTTTCATTTGGGTTTTCTGGGTTGTGAGTTTGGAAGATGGAGCTATCGGCGGCCAGGAGAAACATGGGCTTTTACTTGGGTGACCTGGATCTCACTTCATTTCCCCTTTCGATTTCGATTTATTGATGTTTGCTTGCCGCCGGCCGTGAGGCGCAGCCGGAGATAGTACTAAGATGGCGGTTGGGGAAGGAAGGACTGACGGAGTTTTGCAGAGGGAGAAGACGAGGCAAAAAAAAATTCAGAAAAAAGAATTCAAAAGCTTCAAATCTTTCTCTCTCCACTTCCGCCCGAATTTGGGGGGCTCGGTGGAATAGTAATTTTGCACCTATACTTGGCCGCCCCCCTACTGTTGAAACTTTTGCCAAACGGGTGCAAAGTTCTTGAGAAGGGGATTTACACCCATGTCTTTTGCGCCCCCCTCCCATTTACTCCCTTCCCAAACAGAGTGTAAACGAGCAATCTAGCCTCAACTCTGAAGCTGTCGACTCTATCCTCTACTCCCTTCTTCCTCGTATCAGCAGCATCTACCTCTCTCTATCCCACTTCTCCAAAACTTCACTCAGCTTACCTCACATCCTGTCGATCTGCACCTTCTTCCCATCGACAAATCTCCCCTATCTCATAAAACTTCCCAGTCTTGAAAACCCAAGCGAGCTCCACCGACTCCCTACATACAATCCTTGATTCAGACTGCAATTTCTTGTGCCGACAATAAGCCATCGCCTCAAAGTTCAAGATCTCCCCCAATTACTTGATTCTCTTCTAGATGGAGAGACTTGGGCATGTTTTCAGCTTTCTCCATCAACCAGCAATCGATTCCTTCTCCTTCATCAAATCAATTGTCATCACCATTGTCAGTTTCTGTTCTCCTCTTATTCTATGAATTAAGTTCACGAATTTCTCACGAAAATTCGCGCTCCGACAAACAAAAATTCGCGAATTTTGTTCTAATTTCCTTAAATTCGCGTTTACCCTCTCTAAAGCGTGAGCGCCAACCCCTGATGGGAAAATTGTGTGACCTAAATCCAATCTTGGGGAAGAATGTTTTAAGCACACGAACGTGCCACTCAATCCACTCTAACATTCTTCTTACGCCTGGAAAATTATACCTTAATATCGGGTGATCTTTGTAGGATGTCAACCATTGAACCTAGTCATGCTGCTACTCTCCACGGCCAGAAATAGGCACGAGTATGAAATTATTACTTTCACCTCTTACTCTCACAACTACCATGAAAATGTTCTATGAGAAGAAGATGATAGTAGCTATAGTCTTGAAAACATGGAACCTTAGGCGGTTTCAGGAGTTCCTCACCAACAAAAACCAAGTTCGGCCCGAAAAGCGTGAAACGACATGCGAAACGCAGTTGTAGGTATGTTTGACGAAATATTTGAAAAGTCTCACTATGAATTCAAGAATGCATATCCAGTAGGAATGACGATAAAATTCGAATCCACGAGTTCCAAATTCTCACTCCTCAGTCGTCGCCTTCGACTAGAAGAAGAACCATCTGGAGCCTCAAAGCAAGGTGAGAGAATAGTTCGATCACAAACTATTGCACCACTAATCAGGGCTTAGTTTTTAGTTTGCATTGCTTTTCCAAGTAAATTTATGAATAAATGGTATCATACACTTATTGTAGTGAATTTTTCTTCTTTATCATAACTATACTGATAAGTTTTTCCTTTTTAATGGTTGTGCCATTTTTCTTTACTTGCCCTTGATAATTATAATATTACAATAAGGAATCTGTTGGGCACAACAAAAATATGGTGAGATTTAGGAGGATAGAAAAATGGTATCGGCTTGATACCAAATTTGTTGGGCACAACGAAAATATATAGTGGATTTAGGATCGAGAATATTAGAGAAAATATTTCACTCCAATATTTTTAAAAGAACAATATTACAATAGGCAATTTTTACCTTTTACATTAAGAGTTGCTGCTCTATATATATTGTCTGCTTCTACCCTTATAAACTCAACTCTCATATTCTCCCACATATTTGAATTAGGCAAGTTTATTGCCTTAACCCATTTGAGGAGCTTACTAGCTTTCTGATCTCTCATGCTTCTTCCATGCCTCCAAATGAGGCCTATTTATAGTTCCATTTTCATGGCCATAACATTACAAAGATCAAGATATTTTCTTGTGGTAAGTTTAGTATGTGGTTTGAATTTTTTTCATTATTTTAGTTTAATAATTGAGGTAGTTGGCTGGAGATGATATTTTGGTGCTGCATTCTAGATTGGCCTAGAATTGAATATTAACTTCTCACAGAATCTCACAATATAACCTTTTTTATGGTTGTGTCATTTTTCTTTATTTTCCGTTGACATGTCCTTGCCAACTTATGGAGGAGTGTCAGCGCATACAACTTGAGGAAGAAGAGGAAGATGTAAGCTGCAAGTCTAATAGAGGAAGAAGTTGAGTATGCAAAAGGGAACTATCCATATCTCCCTTGGTGGAAAGTGACGAAGGTGGACCTTAACTGGGCAAATTAAAGTAAGAGTCATCCAACGGTTCGGTGATGCATTATAGGTCCAA